CACTCAGTCATGGCGCTATATAGGTATTTGGGGGGATGTGAATGAGGTGGAAGGAATGGAGGTAGGTCACTTTACCCCAGGTACACGCTCACTCAACAGAAAAGATTTGCAGTGGATCCCCCCAAGGCCAACGGGGCTGTACTGTTTCAGAACAAGTGCAAGGAGTAGATTCCAAAGTGAGGCCCCTCACAAGGAGCTCTCCCGCCAGTCCTACTCTCTGTCACTGAGAGGGATCCATGTGGGGCCTCTGTTCACCACAAGAGAAACATTACAGAACCTCGGGGATGTGGTTTTAGGCAATATACTGTTTGCAGTTGAGAGGTTCAAAGCAACACCATGAACTCTCCCCAGAAACCGGTAGGGAGCCAGTGCAGAGCACAGGTGCCAAGCGCCCACTGAACAGCACTGCTTGCCGGGCAGGCTGACGCCTTCTGCACCTTTTCAATTTCAGAGGTTCTCTGCATCGCCCCAGAAATCCAGAATGGAAGAAAAGTAGCTGGACGTGGACCTGTCTACAGACCCAGGGACACAGTTAGGTTTGAATGTGATCCTGGCTACACCCTGAATGGCAGCCGTCAGATTCAGTGCCGAGATGAAGGAACCTGGGATCTTCCTGTTCCAACCTGCATACAGGGTAAGTGTGAATCTAGGCTGACTGCAGGGTAACTGAGATGATCAACATCTGGTAGGGTTGTGCCTGGAGGCTAAAAAATAAACATCCTTTGAATCCTGGGGTCACTTTTCAGCTGTGAATGGGGAACATACAAATATCTGCCCACCCCCTAATCTCTTGACTATGCTCGTCACTGTGATAGCTGATCGCCTGCATCCTGCTTTGTCCTCTTGACAGCCAGAGATCTAGCAATGCTCTGTCTCACTGAGCGTCCTAACAGTGTGAATGGAAACATAAATCAACAAAACTCATCCCCCTCTCAACAAATTCTATTTTGGTTTCTTAAGTGAGTCAAGGGAGATTTGTAGGAACAGAAAAGTAGCAGATTGGGAAAATCTGAGTTTGTGGGTGAAGGGGGCTCTAGGTAGGTGATATTTAACCTTTTTTGGATGTGTTGCATCACTGGTGCAATGGAGGGTTCGACATAATACATGCATCCTGGGCTTTCCCCCCTCCTGCAGACCAGCCTATTTTAAGCTCTTCTTGAACAGGATTCAGATTTTCACTGAAATATTCTTCTTCCCCTCTCCCCCGTTAGCGTTGCCGTGTCCCCCACCTCCGGTCATTGTCAGAGGGGAGCACAATGCCAAGCCATTGGCAGCTTTCCCCAGTGGAACATATGTAAACTACAGCTGTGAACCCGGCTACGCCCTCCGGGGAGAGGCTACAATCTATTGTACCACATCTGGAACTTGGAGCCACCCTTCTCCTCTATGTGAAGGTGAATGCATTTTTGGTTGGCTTCTTCCCATTGGCTGTAGGTGTGTCAGTCACCCAACAGGATTTAAAGCAAGAGAAAGAATGTTCAGACATACCAGCTAAAGTAACAAAATTCACAGCTGGGAACAGATCCCCCAGGGGGACACACAGGGCTATAGTCACTGCTGGCACAAGAAGTTCAGTTGACTTCAGTGGAACTTGCGCACTGATGCCGGTGGAGAGCACGGCTCCCTGAGCGCTGCCGGACAAGATTACAGTTGAAAGGATTTATAGAAGTGTCAGCAGGAAGATGGAATCGTGTAGAAATACTAATGAAAATGAAGTTAAAGGCTCTGCAAAAGAAATGACCCTATAGACAAATTCCTACGCAGACTCTTGGGCATGTCCACACATAGATGTTGCAGTGGTTTAACTAATGGTGTGAACCCAGAAACTTGCTGTTATTATAAATGCAAATATATCCTTATGGGACAATTGAATTTGAAAACGTAAATGTAGGAAGTGGCAGTGAATGCGTTCATCAGAACAGTCTGAAAGCTCACAGGGTGCGACTCTGGGTGTGTACAAACTGCTAGATGCAATGAGAAGACAGCACTCATGGTGGAGGCAGTGTGATGAGTGGTTATTTATGTTCCCACGTCTGCCATCGGTGAGGTGTGCTCGTCCTATAGCCTCAGCCGCTAAATGAGAGTAAGAGATAACTTAAGTATCTTGAGTCAATGGGCTGTTGTATCAAAGTTTGTGAAGGGCTTGGGTCCTTTGATAGATGGTTCTGTATGTGGATATTAATTCCGTTGGGCATTGCTGCACTTATAGAGTCATATGCTTTAAGGCCAGAAGCAACTATTGTGATTCTTTAGTCTTTCGCTGACAGTACTACTGAAAACTGGCACATTTTAGCATCCTGGGAGTATGGCAGCCCAAGGATGGATATTGGGACCAGAGGTAAACAGGACAGGTACATATGTTGTGTTAGATGATTAGAAAATAGAGGTTCTTGTCTCAGCAGTGAGTTTGGCCCTGTGTGTGTTGTTTTAGAGCCAGTCTCCAGCTATGGATTTTGTTGCATTAGCACCTTTGTCTGAAGGTTCTCTTTCCCTCGGCTTTAATCCTAGCATAACACCTGGAAGAATATTTATAAAACAGATCCGCAGTTGTTTCTTTGTAACACTGTTGTTTTATCAACCTGCACCTGATGTGGTACATACCAGCACAGTAGATATGGTTCTTTTTTCTCATGTGTGTTTCCTTTCTTCCTAGAGGGCTGTGGTGTCCCAACGAGGTTAAGTTTTGCTGAGCTGAAGAGCGAGTATAAAAATCAGTCTTCCTTTCCTGTTGGGAAGACTATAAACTATACTTGCCGGCCTGGATACAGTAGATACCCGCGGATGCAATCCACTATTACATGCCTTGAAAATCGAAAGTGGTCAGAAGCATTTGAGTTCTGTAAAAGTGAATATCTTCATGGATTTTGTTTCTATTGTTCAATAAAGATCTTAGAGGCACTAGGTTGTGTCCACGCTGCAAAATGTAACATGTCCTTAAATAGTTAATAGTGGCTAGTAAAGTTCTCTAGCTGTGCCTATTCCGGGCCTTTCTAAATGCCTTCTTCGTGGGGAGTGTTAAATATGGACAGTTCCTGGGGATAATTGTTGCATTGAAAGAGAGAAGTCTAATCCTAGCCTTGTTTTCTACCAGTGAAATCGTGTGGTCATCCCGGAGAGCCGGAGAACGGCAGAGTTATTATAACAGATCTCCTCTTTGGGTCAACCGTCAACTTCACGTGTGAAGAAGGGTAAGTTTCAGACTGCCTGAGTTGACTACTTGTGCCTAGCTTAGAGCTGTAAAACATAAGTGGATATCCTCGTATTCCCCCAACTCCTGGTTTACTCTTCCATACTAAAGCAGCACTCCATCTTCTTGGCTCAATCAATATCCTATTATTATGCAGTGAAAGATGGATTGGCGTAAGTCTCCCTCTTTTCTTCATTCATGCTCTGCCATTTATTGTACAAACTTTAGTTACAATTTGGCCAGCTGAATGCTCTGCCTGCAGGTGCTGGGTGAGCACCAACGTCTCCTGTGGAGAGTAGGATCCAAGTGACCAGGGAAAACCCTGGAATCTCTTGGATTTTACCCCTGCTTTGACATGGGAACAGTTGTTCTTCTGAATCATTTGAAATGGCTGCCTTTCCTCAGGGCCATGCAGAGCAGGGGCTCCATGGCTAACTTCCCATCTATCTCCAAGGACAAACCCAGCTTGGAGAGCCGTCTGAGTTAGAGCTTTGGGGATGTGGTGGCAGAAGGGCTGTTGCCTGCCCCTTCCTTTGAAAGATTGAGACTGTGCTTCAGTGGCCTGAAAAGCAGAGGGCTGCAGCTGCAGGACTGGCTGGAACGTTTGTAGGGAGTGTCACGTCTGTATTGAAAAAGGAAGAATCTCTTCTCGCATAAAGTCCCATGTCACAGAAAAGAGCCATAGCAGCTGTTGGTGCTGAATGCTAGACCGAGTTCTGCATTGTTTTATTCAACAATATCAGTGCATATGGACCTGTGTGATGCGGTGGCTTATAGCACCTGCCTGGGTTACGACTGGCATGACTGATTATCTCAAGCTAGCCAGACCCCAGCTGGGTCTGCCTGGCCCACAAAAACTTATCCACTCCAACACGAAAATTATAAAACCAAAATGGAGACGGCATAATAATAACTCCGCAGCAGCCTGCCCAAAGTGCAGATGTTACTAGTTTGCCTGTGGTTTGTGATTCCATGGCAGGGAATGTCCCTGCTGATGTGGTGAGGAAGACTTGAGGGCACAGGAAGGACATTTGGATCCCCTGGCTCAAAGAATGCCAGCTCTTTGGGCCTACATAGGACTCTGTTCCATGGTTTAATTCTACAAGGGGCTGGGGACAAGGGCAGCCCCAGGCACCAGCGCACCAAGCGCATGCCTGGGGCAGCAAGCCACGGGGAGCAGCCTGCTGGCCACTATGAGGGTGGTAGCCAGGCTGCCTTCAGTGGCATGCCTGCAGGAGGTCCACCGGTCCCGCAGCTTCGACGGCAATTCGGTGGCGGGTACGCCGAAGGCATGGAACCGGCGGACCTCCGGCAGGCATGCATCCGAAGGCTGCCTTACTGCCGTGCTTGGGGTGGCAAAACACATAAAGCCAGCTGGCTGTGGAGTTCTGAGTTGTCAAGGAGCCTTTTTTCCAGTGATCATCACTCAGTAGTCGGTGGTGTTGGTCCCCACCTGCTGTGACTGGGGAGAAGAGCTTCCCAAATAACTGAGCTTCACAGGATAACTCATACACCAAAGGACTAGATAACAACTGTAACCCCCTCTGCCTAACTCCAGGCACCGGTTGATTGGACAGCCTTACAGACGGTGTGAGATTTCTGGCCTGCGTGTTGCATGGAGTGGTGAAGTTCCCATTTGTGAGCGTAAGTAAATTACAAATGTCTGTCAAGGTGCTTATTTGGGCACTTCTGTCTTTTATCTGCTTGCCTCTTAAATGTTAATAAACGGGTAGGGAAGCTTTATGATCACCACTTTAGAGTGGGAGAACTGAGAAACAGAGAGATTAAGGGATGTACCCCGGGTGATATAGAGAGTTGGTCAATAACAGAGCCAAAATTTTAATCCAGATCCCCAGGTCCCAGGTACCTTAACCACAAGAGCATCTTGGGTTGATAGGTGTGTGTGAAGGGGTTTTTATCCTAGGAAGAAATTTCTTGTTTCAAGTTCCTGACCATAAGAACTTAGTCTTTCTTTGACAACTGAGTAAATGAAAAAGGCACCGAGCTTGGTATGGCAACAATGTTCTACCAGAATGGTTATTGGCCATTTTGTATTTTTAAATAATGTAACAGGTGTGCCTGATAGGGATTTGTATTAATCCAAAATTAAACAAGAAGCTCATTACCTACACTTCAAGGCATGCATGTGCCCTGGTAGTGCGGACACCAGTTTATTGTGCAGCAGGAAAACAGTGCGTTTTTCCATGCTTGATTGGGATGGAACACCTTGATCTTAAAACAGTACATATTGAAATCCCTTCCTCAAAAGAGTATTATATAAAACTCCTCCAGAAAGCGTGGAGATGCCACACTTCCTGTATATTTAGGCCAACTTTTCCAGATTACTGTACCCCTTTCAGCCGTCTGATTTGTCTTACATACCCCTAAGTCACACCTCTCTTCAAATCTACTTGCTTACAAAACGAGCCATAAAAATACACAGCACACTTCTACTGAAAAATTGCTTACTTTCTAATTTTTACCACACATAATTATAAAATAAATCAATTGGAATATAAATATTATACTTACATTTCAGTGTATAGTACACAGAGAGCAGTATAAACAAGTCACTGTATGAAATGTTAGTTTGTACTGACTTTGCTAGTGCTTTTTATGTAGCCTGTTGTAAAACTAGGCAAATATTTAGATGAGTTGATTTATCATAGAATCATAGGACTGGAAGGGACCTTGAGAGGTCTAGTCCCGTCCCCTGCACTCATGGCAGGACTAAGTATTATCTAGACCATTCCTGGCAGGTGTTTGTCTAACCTGCTCTTAAAAATCCCCAATGACAGAGATTCCATAACCTCCTTTAGGCAATTTATTCCAGTGCTTAACCACCCTGATAGGAAGTTTTACCTAATGTCCAACCTAAACCTCCCTTGCTGCAATTTAAGCCCATTGCTTCTTGTCCTATCCTCAGAGGTTAAGAAGAACAATTTTTCTCCCTCCTCCTTGTAACAACCTTTTACGTACTTGAAAACTGTTATCATGTCCCCTCTGTCTTCTCTTTCCAGATTAAACAAACCCAATTTTTTTCAATCTTCCCTCATAGGTCATGTTTTTTAGATCTTTAATCATTTTTAGCGACAAAGAATCCTGTGGCACCTTATAGACTAACAGACGTATTGGAGCATAAGCTTTCACCCACGAAAGCATATGCTCCAATACGTCTGTTAGTCTATAAGGTGCCACAGGACTCTTTGTCGCTTTTTACAGATTCCAACTATCACAGCTACCCCTCTGATACTTAATCATTTTTGTTGCTCTTTTCTGGACTGTTGTACTGCACAGGATCTTTTCAGGGGGAATAAGGCAGAGCGCCACATTCATTGGTAATACTTGTATCAATCAACACTGTATCATATGCATATGATATATATTACAGTCATGCACTCACATATACACACACAAGCACACTCCGTCTTGTTGTTGTTACCAATTAGTTGCTCCCCTTAACTTCACTGGCCAGGTGAGTTAGATGGGGGAGGGGTGGAGCCGGGCTTCTGCCGATCCGGATCGATGCTGCCATGTTGACAAGATGAGACCCAAGGTCCTCTGCAAGACACCTCACATTTATAGCAGCTTCCCTCTCATGCAAATCTGTACCAGATTCAAAATCTGTGTCTGTGTCCATTGGTCCTTTGTGCTGCTTCCTTCTGGGTGTTGTCCCAATGCTGTTCAAAGAGGGTGTTTTCAAAAGAAGGTGCTTGCTTCTAACCCCCAAGGCCATCAGTATGTCTACTCTTCTCTAGTGAGCCCACTTGACAAGTTTTATTGTTCTTGGGTCTGGCTTCCATCCCCTCTCCAACGGTTGCAGCTGTCTGGAGGTGCTGCCTTCCACGCCTTTACTCATTCACACCTCGTTCATTCAACAGGGCAATTGATTAAGAGTGGGGGGAAGGTCTTGTTCTACTGCTAGCAAAAAGACAGTTTTCTTCTATCTTATTCTATCCTTAGGGGCTATAACATTATACCAAGGTTCAATGCAAAGTTTTTACATGAGGCTTTGATACAAAGGTTCATGAAAACAGAGGTCACACATGAGTAGACCCACTACAAGGTTATATAAAGAGGCACAATGTAAAGTCATATGAAAATTATCAGAGATTTATCTACATTGGTCTATAAGGTGCCACAGGACTCTTTGTCGCTTTTTACAGATCCAGACTAACACAGATACCCCTCTGATACTTAATCATTTTTGTTGCTCTTCTCTGGACTCTCTCCAATTTGGCCACATCTTTCCTAAAATGTGGTGTGCAGAACTGGACACAATACTCGAGTTGATACCTAATCACCACAGTAGGGTGGAAGAATTACTTCAAGTGTCTTGCTTACAACACTCCTGCTAATACATCCCAGAATGACGTTCACTTTTTTTGCAACAGTGTTACACTGTTGACTCATATTTAGCTTGTGGTCCACTATGACCCCCAGATCCCTTTCCACAGTCCTCCTTCCTAGGCAGTCATTGCCCTTTTTGTATGTGTGCAACTGATTGTTCCTTCCTAAGTGGAGTACTTTGCATTTGTCCTTATTGAATTTCATCCTATTTACTTCAGACTATTTCTCCAGTTTGTGCAGATCATTTTGAATTTTAATCCTATCCTCCAAAGCACTTCCAACCCCACCCAGCTTGGTATCGTCCGCAAACTTTATAAGTGTACTCTCTGTGTCATTATCTAAATAATTGATGAAGATATTGAAGAGAACCAGACCCAGAATTGATCCCTGCAGGACGCCACTCATTATGCCCTTCCAGCATGACTGTGAACCACTGACAACTACTCTATGGGAACGGTTTTCCAATCAGTTTTGCACCCACCTTATGGTAGCTCCATCTAGGTTGCATATCCCTAGTTTGTTTATGAGAAGGTCATGCAAGAGAGTGTCAAAAGCTTTACTGAAGTCAAGATATACCACGTCTACCACTTCCACCTCATTCACAAGGCTTGTTACCTTCAAAGAAAGCTATTGGGTTGGATTGACATGATTTGTTCTTGACAAATCCATGCTGGCTGTGACTTATCACCTTATTATCTTCTAGATGTTTGCAAATTGATTGCTTAATTATTTGCTCCATTATCTTTCAGGGTACAGAAGTTAAGCTTACTGGTCTGTAATTTCCTGGATTGTCCTTATTTCCCTTTTTCTAGATGGACACTGTATTTGCCCCTTTCCAATCTTCTGGAATCTCTCCCGTCTTCCATGACTTTTCAAAGATAATTGCTAATGGCTCAGATATCTCCTCAGTCAGCTCCTTGAGAATTCTAGGATGCATTTCATCAGGCCCTGGTGACTTGAAGACATTTAATTTGTCCAAGTAATTTTTAACTTCTTCTTTCCCTATTTTAGCCTCTTCTGATCCTACCTCATTTTCATTGGTATTCACTATGTTAGATGTTCAATCGCCACCAACCTTCGTGGTGAAAACCGAAACAAAGAAGTCATTAAGTACCTCTGTCATTTCCACATTTTCTGTTATTGTTTCCCCCCTTCATTGAGTAACAATCCTATCCTGTCCTTGGTCTTCCTCTTGCTGCTAATGTATTTGTAGAATGTTTTCCTCTTACCCTTTATGTCTCTAGCTAGTCTGATCTCATTTTATGCTGGCCTTTCTAATTTTGTCCGTACATACTTGTGTTATTTGTTTATATTCATCCTTT